ATATTTTTGAGATCTGAGCACAACATCAAAGTATCTTGGAGAATCTCACCACAGATATACACCCAATCATTCAACCAGTGCTATTCTGGCACGGCTGTTTTTGATAAATGGAGGGCAGACAGTTTGTACTGATGTCTAGTGTTTGGTGATGTGTCCTGCTCGGGAAAGGGACTCAGTCCTGGGATTCGCACACACGGCCTGGGAGAGACAAGGAGGGAAAGAAGGGAGTTTTCTCAGCTCGGCATAAACTTGGAATGCCCTGAGCCATTGGTGAGGGACATTTCCCAACTCGCCCGACTCACTCTCCACACCCTGGCGTGCTATTGGCATTTGCAGGAAATAGGAATGAGCTTCTCCCCGACCTGGGGAAGAAATACACACTGAAAGCCAACATTGATCTGATTCACCCAGACCTGGACATTCTCCAGGATCTACTGGCTACGTGGATATCCAACAAGCCAGCAGGTACTAGGCTTAAGTACTTTGATGGTGTTCACAAGCAAAGACCAACCCTTCAAGGCAGCAAAGGAGGCTTTCTCTAAGGTGAATGAATGGTCTCCAATGGTACATTTTGCAGGAAGAGGACACACTTCCTGGGACAGGACGTCTGGGTGGTAAGGAAGCCTTTCCGCATTAGAATCAGGCGTTGGGTGTTGGGACCGAGGTGCAACATGTTGGAATACTCTCATGTACAGGCAGAAGCTTCTCCACTGTGTTGGAAGCAGGGTGGCTAAGCAGAGGGGAGCCCTGTTGAGGAGCACAGACCCCAAAGAGCCCTTTGTGGGAGGGACTGGATACTGATCTCTCAACTGCTTCTGATTATACCTAAGTTCCTGGCAATGCTCGGTCCTCGTGCATTCTGTGGAGAATCATTGAGCCCCTTGATTAGATGGAGGAATGAAGGGGAACCTTGTCAGGATCAGAGGTGTGATGGCAGCCACAGCAGGGGGCACAGCTGTGCCTGATGGAGCCCAGCTCACCTGGGTGGTAGCTAAGAGCATCCAGGAAGATGTGCCTTAGAATCCCGGAGTGAGATGGGAAGGGCCGATCTTTTCTTGTGCTTCTGGTGGAAGACTCCAGCCATCAGACTTACTGTACTGAAGAAATGTGACCCAGATATAAACCCATGAGCCGTGGAGACCTGCTCCCGGGTTTTCACAGAGCCACGATTCTCAGGCAGCTGCATCATCTCCCCCATGATTTCTCTAGTGGTTTGATAGAACTTAGCTTAGAAACTGAAACTTTCCAAGAGCATAAGCACACATCTCCACCATGGCAGGAAGGCACTCTTTCTTCAGGATGTAAATCATGGTGAGAATTCTGGCTTCCTATGACACCCAGTCTCTGGAAATCCCGTCACTAAACTATGCCCCGCCCCCTCCATTCTAAAGGATACTGGAGATACCTCTACCCAGTTCCATGTGCATTTAGAAAATAAGGGCATTTTGTTTAGATACCTGCACGTCGTTATCACCTCTTGACTAAATGATTAACAGTCACCCCATACCATTTAATATCAAGTCTAAATTCCAGTTTCCCTATAAACATGATTTCCTAACCACACATCACTAAGAAGGATGTTCAATGTTAAAAAAAAAAATGCAGCTGTAACATATGCATTTTTAGTCCACAAGGGACTTTGATGACAGGTTAGTTTTTCTGTTGTTATTTTGTTTTTTTCTGCAGGAGCTCACTCTGTCGGTCTTGGGTCCAAGTCTTAGCAGTTCTGCCTCTAACTATTCCCAGAGAACTGGTTAAATCCCACCCTCAACCCGCAGTTTCCCAGACACTTCCTTCTGTTGTACCCCCATCCCACCCCTGTCCCCTGCAGGAATGGATTAGGCTATTGCCCTACGGAAAGGCATTTGTAAGGGGCTCACCCTATCTCTGGGTGCAGGGGCAAAGATGAGCGCAGGGAAGGACTGGCATGCCAGAGTAAAAGCGCCATTGCTTTGGCAGGGAAAAGAGCTGGAAAGGGAAGGAGGCAGGGGAATAGCAGAGGCAAAGTCTGAAACACACAGAGAACTCAGCCACTCTCCGATTTCCTTCTTAAACAAAACAAGACAAAGAAACATAACAAAATAAGACCAAAAATGTGAAGAAAGTACAATGGATCGTATTTTACTTCTATTCTCATTGAAAGGCTGTTAATCTTTCAGTTTTGGGTCAACTTTTAAAAATGCAAATACTATATAATACAGTCCGGACTGTCACACTGTCTTTTGTGTTATATGATCTGTTTCTTTCTTTTGTTCTGAATTATACTGAGAACATTCTCATGGGCCGTTCGGTATGTGTCCAAGCAGGCCTTTAGCAGTTGCAACATGTTAACTTATGTGTGTAACATGCATTCACAGTTTATCATCATTATGAAAGCACATCGTGAGGGTCCTATACCTGAGTCTTGGAATGGGTCTCTATGAATATACACCTTTATGATAAAAACTGTCAAGAATTACTAGCTAGAAGTGTCAAAACATGTTCCCTACTGCCTTCCAGAGTACTTCTAAGTTGATATGGTAACAGAAAAGGTATAAATGAGTCCTTTTCCCCCACATTCCTGCCGACCCTCTCCCCTACTAGCCTGACGATTAGACACATGAATGTGGCATCTCTCTCCCAGCCCTGCTTTTGCTGATGTTCCTCAAACCTTTGATCTTTCAGTGTTTCATATCAAAAGGACGAGGTGTGTGTTTGCTCTAGCTCCTGGCAATCGTTGAAGGGAAAGTGGAGAGCTATGGGCTATGGTTGGGACAGAGCTGGGCTATTGATGGAATCTGAGAGCTGTAAATTATTCCCCTGCATAATTTGCAAGGCTAAGATACACAGAAAAACTTCCAGACTGCAAATCAGGAAGAGTTATTTACTGCCAAGAATGATACTGTCCAAACATACACTATTATAGAAGTAGCATATTCATACACATATTTTTACCCTTTCTTCTATACTTTGGCTTACTATATGAATTCTGGGTTTGCTGTCTATTCTGGATTAGGTTCTTTTCTTTTCTTTCTTTCTTTCTTTTTTTACTTTTCCCATAAACCTGTAGACTTAAACCATGTCACATATAGCTTATAAGCTTTGTATAGATACACGCAAAATATTCTATATATGCACAAATGTGAATATTTTTCTTGAGAGAGAAGACCAAGACTTCATATTGTCTAAAAAGACTACAAGAACTGATTTAAGGCTCTTTAATAGGGAGAAAATTCTGTTATAACTGCAGTGCTCACAGGGGCCCAGCAGGCAATGACAGAGTACTAAATAGGGAATGGTGATTGGTGACTTTGGTGTCCTCAAATGCATTTGTGCCAGCTAAACTAAATAGCTGCCTCTTGCTCCAGGACACTATTGATGTGGGGAAACATGGGCCCAGTGTTTGCAGATTTGATTATTTTTTTAATGCCAGAAATCTGAGTATTTATAAGAAATCTTCCAAACTTTAAATGCTTTCAATAATTTAACTAAGCAAACATTATATGAGACAAATAACAGATCTTCTGTCCCCCACTCTGACCCCTCAGGCTATTAGGCTTGAAAGAAACTGCTAATTTTTAACCACAATTAAATCCATAAATAAAAGTAATTAAATGGTCTCTTTAGGTTTCCAATAAGCCAAGAACACCAAGGCCACTTAAGAAAAATGGTCCCATGGGGCTCTGGTCTGACTGGAGTGTAGCACTTGGGAGTAGTCAAATGTGACAGCTTTTCAGAGAATGCTCTTGACGACAGCAAATGCTGACACTCCCGCCACCACCAATGTCAGTCTCAACACACTGAGCCTTTGCCATAACACTGAGAAGTGAGTTCTGGAAAGAGGACATGTCAAGACTCCTAATTGCATAGTTATATAAAACCTTGCGTTTTCAAGCCCCTAACACTAGTGAGAGACATCATGCCACCTTTTACCAAGTGCCAGAATTAAAGTCAGTGTAAGAAGCACAGAATGCACCCAGCAGCATACCAACTCCAGATAAATGGCATTAAAAAAATCAAGTTAAGCCGGGCGGTGGTGGCGCACGCCTTTAATCCCAGCACTCGGGAGGCAGAGGCAGGCGGATCTCTGTGAGTTCGAGGCCAGCCTGGTCTACAGCGCAAGATCCAGGAAAGGCGCAAAGCTACACAGAGAAACCCTGTCTCGAAAAACCAAAAAAAAAAAAAAAAAAAAAAAAAAAAAAAAAAAAAAAAAAATCAAGTTAATCTCTACACAAGGACATTTGTTGCTGTTTGAAGAAACTCTGCAATATAGTGATCTGAAAGAGAAAAACCATTTCCAAATTCAACTGCGTTGTGAGTGCAGATTGAAAAATACCAGTCTTCTAGACTAAGATGCAAACTCCAATGAAACCTTTTCCATGGCTCTTGGCTGCTGACACCATGGCAGACTTGCGGGGCAGGTACATAGCTAGTGTGGAGGAGAGGAAGTGGGTGAGGAGCCAGGAGGAGAGGCACCCCCAGGACAGTTGCCCAGAAGTTAGTGGGCAGGAAAGCTGGAGCTGGGAACCAAAGGAGCCAGCTACTGAAAGTATGATCAAAACTGACAGCCACATTTTTCCTGAGGACATAAGCTGACATTTCCATGGCCAAATACGCATTTCCCCATTCTGTGCCCTAGATAGGGTTTTACTCATAATACATTTAAAAATGGCATCTTGAGCACAAGACGTCACATGTTGGACAAATGAAGGTTGGCACTGTGGTCAACAGTGCCAGAGGGACAGTGACACAATGGAGCAAGGCCACTTTGAGAATCTCATCACACTTCAAGTCAAGGAAAACGTGCCTTGTGCTTTGCAAATGAGGGTGCGCTCTCCCCCACCTCCCCGTGTGTGTGTGTGTGTGTGTGTGTGTGTGTGTGTGTGTGTGTGTGCATCTGTGTGTGTGCATCTGTGTGCATGCCTGTATAATGCACTCAGTGGGTTTTGATTTTTCCATAATTAGTAAAGAACAACCCAGGTTCTCATGGGCTCCTTAAATAATCAGAGAACACAAGGTACCTGTGATCATGCTGGATATAATCAATGGCAAAATGACAAGCTTCAGCATCCTCATTAGAATTTCTCCAGGAAAAGCAAAGTAGAATTTATCCAGATTTGAGAGCTCACTGTGTCCACGAACCAAGACTCCTATGGCAATGCCTAAGAAAAACAGAGAAGGAAAGGAAACACTTTTAGTTCTCTTGCATATAATTTGGGGGGGGGGAAGTACTGAAGAATGCAAATTTCAATGGCAAGAAAAGCTGTTTAGAGCATCTCTTGCAAATCTATAAAGTTTAGACTTACAAAATCCAGAAGGTAGTGAATAGGAAGCATGCATTTTTAAAATGTAAAAAATAATATTCTTCTCATGAAAGATTTGGTTTTCATTTCCTCCTCACTGGTTCTATATATTGTAATGACGCATCATTAAAGACTAAACTTCATCATCACAAACTTCTTGCCCTCCTCGTCTCTTTTCTTCTCTCTCCTGTCCCCTCTGTTGTACCCAACAGCAAGTCCAGGTTTCGTGCACACTCAGTGAGTGCCCCAACACTAAACTACGTCCACATTCCCCAAGTCCACCATCTTTTGTAACCCACTATAAATCTTTTCACAGGTCACCTTAAACTTTATCCATAGCAGAGACCGTCTACGTATTTTATGGTTTAGTATATTTGTATTTTTCTCATAAGTGCTTTTTACAAAATAAATTTGGGGGACTGGAGAGATGTTCAATGGTTAAGAACACTTGCTCCTCTTACAGAGGACACAGGTTCAGTTCTCAGTACCCACACGGAGTGTCTCATAACCACCTGTAACTCCAGTTTCGAGGGATCTGACTTCATTATATACCTCCTTATACAGTTGCATGCGTGAGGTGCGCCACACACACACACACACACACACACACACACACACACACACAGAGAGAGAGAGAGAGAGAGAGAGAGAGAGAGAGAGAGAGAGAGAGAGAGAGAGCGCAAATGAATAAACAAATCAATTCATCTGTTTATGCACTTTTTATGGTTCTGTTTGGATTTTAGACAAGTCTGTATGTATTCCAGGTGGCTTTAACCTTGCAATCCTCCTGCCTTAGTGCTGTGTGGTGATACATTGTTTGTCATCTAGGAAATAAAGCTTGCCTGAAGATCAGAGGACAGAGCTAGCCAGAGTTAGCCATAGAGGTCAGGCAATGGTGGCACACCATTTCTGTGGATTTCTGTTGAGTTCAAGGCCACCCTGGGCTACACGATTAATCCAGTCTAAAAGAGAAACAGTGCCAGGCAGCGGTGGCACACACCTTTAATTCCAGCACTTGGGATCACACACCTTTAATCCCAGCACTAGGAAGGTGGAGACAGGACGTGATATGGCTGGGCAGAGAAAGGAATATAAGGCGGGAGGAGACGGGAACTCGGCTTTTTCAGGCCGAGGAGTTGGTGAGGTAAGAGGTGGTGGCTGTGGCTTGCTTTGCTTCTCTGATCTTTCAGCTTTCACCCCGATATCTGGCTCCAAGTTTTTATTATAAGACCATTCAGGATTCGTGCTATAGTGCTGAGATTATAGGTGTGTAGTAGTATGACATCTAACTAAATTATTATTACTTTGACAGGTATAATATTTTGGAACACCGATGTTGTCTAATGCTTTTCATTCAGTATTCCAGTTATTTCTAAGTCATGGAATACTTAACTCTATCAAATCAAGAGTCTTTAAAAAAAAAGACTATTTTTATTTTTAATTATGTATATATGTGTGTGCATCTGTGTGTGTTGGGGGCATTGCACACATGAGTGCAGTGTCTGTAGAGGACAGAAGAGGGCATCAGATCCCCAGGAGCTCCAGTGACAGGCTGTTGTGAGCTTCCCCAGGTGGGAGCTGAGAATTGAACTCAGGTCATCTGGAAAAGTACTAAATGCCCTTAACTTCCAGGCCATCTCCCCAGTCTCAAGAGTCCTTTTATGAAGTTTCTAGTCTTGATTTCCTTATATTTGAGATTTGTAATTATGTAAACACAAGTATACTGCCGTTATTAAACAATCTCCAGGTCCCCAGGTTAAGTTCAGTCTCATGAAAGCTGCTCTACTTTAGACACCAATCATAAGCCCTGGGTAGTGGCCTGAGTTTCTGGCTGAACCTCTCTAAATCAGGGTGCCTATGGCCCTCCCTTGGGTTCAATTCGTTTGCTAGAACAGATTACAAAATGAAGGGAACATTAAGGATACTGCAAAGCACAGGGATGAATGGCCAGGGGAGGTGACACACAGGCCCACAAATGGGAGAAGGGGCACAGAATTTCCCCACCCTGTGGCATGCCACTTTCCAAAAACTCCATTTGTTCATTTATCTAGAAGTGTTAAAACCTTTTATAAAAGCCTCATTGTACAGACACGATTGATTACATTATTGACTATGGTTTTATCGACCCTTTCCCCCTCCCCTAGGAATGTCGAACCACATGGTTGGTTCCCCTGGCAACCAAAGGCATGCTCAGGCTAGGAAGGTCTCTCATTAATCTCAATAATTCAAAGATTTTTGTGTGTGTCCAGCAGCCCGGGGCCCCCATCTTATGTACTGTAGTTTCAGTAACCTACATGAATCTCAGTCTTAAAACACTGCATGAAAAAGTGCAGAAATAAATCATAGGTTATTTATAAATTATTTTTAAGAGAAGAAAAAGAAACAAGAAATGTTATAGATTCTCTGAAATCTTGCCTTAAGATGTCTATGTGAAAACCACCCGCTGTGTGGAGGCCCAATTTAACAATGACTTTGATCACTCATTTTTGAAAACTCATAAAATATTAAGATTTTCTTATATCTTGTTCTAAATCCTTCAAATAACATCTAATTGCTCTGTCTTGCCCTCCCCTCAACACACACACCTTTTTTAAAATCAAGAATAAATGAGCTGGATGACTGTCACTCCTTTCTTCCTGCATGTGACATGTTAGCCTGATGAGTGACATGTTAGCTGGAGGGGGAAAATGACTAAATCACAGGAAGTTTCAAAGAGGATCTCACTGAATATGCAAATTCAGAAACTCAAATAGTTTAAGAAACCTCAGAGTCATTTGGGCACAGTTAGTCACCACAAGGCAATGAATTATAATGAACAATATAATCTTCATTCAAATACAGGAATCCATCCTTCACCCACTTCTAGTCTAAGTGGGTGAACCCCACAAGACACATTTTGAAGAACCTTAGCCTTTACCTAAATTTTGGTCTCCTATATATTCTGCCTTGACTTGTATTGATACTTAGATATTTCCCAAATTGTAGCTATAAAACAGAAGAACTGTATTATCAATCCAATTCAATTCCTATGCTAAAACATAGTGTTAAAGACTTGTGAATAGTTAAGATACCAAAATATTCAAAATATTTTAAATAAATTTAAAAGTCATGACATTCTCTTTTCTTGCTTTGCGAATTGCCTGTGTTCAACTGTTTCAGGTAATCCTGGGTTTTTCTGTAAAAGGGATCTTGGTATTTAAAAATAAAGGTGTCTGTACTCAAAACCAATAACAAGAGCAGCCACAGACTTGCTCCACTGAGCAGCAGACCCTATGTGTTCAACCTTTGCATTTAAATTAACAATGACCAAGAACTAGGCCTGTAATCATCTCCGGCCCATATGAGTGCAGGCTGGCTAGGAAAAACTGTATTATTCTTTTCAGCCTTTAGCCAGATATGGATTTTTATGGGAGAAACAAAGGAGCTGCTATGTGGAATAGTTGAAAGTAATGCTTGATGAGCAAATAGGTCATTATATTTTGTAATTATGATTTCTATCATGCTTGTTTGAAGTTGAATGCCATAGTACCCTAATAGCTCTCCTTTCATTGCAAAGAATAGACACATCAACCAAGTTCTGAGGAAGCAATCAGAGATTTGCAGCTGGCACCCTGGCATCCTGACCTAAAAGGGTCTGGTGAGTAACCTCAGCAAAGGGGTACAGCTTGAGAGTGAGTGTGCTTTACTTTGGTTTCCAGAAAACTTGGAAACATCAGATTCAGGACAATGGTAGCAACTGAAGGCCTACACTAACTAAGGATGTCTGTTCAACACAACAATGTCAGCTATAAGGGAAACTCAGAAATCCCTGGGACAACTTGATTCTGGGAGTTCATGTATTATAAAGCTAGGGTGTTAGTGCATAAGAAGAAAGGCATCTTCTGAACTCATGCCCACGACTAATGGAAAGTTCTAGACTTACACAGCTCAATGAAATGCTTGCCTCTTCCTTTGTTTACTGAGCAACCTGGCCACCTCTCTGGTCAGCACTGGCTCTCAGTTGCTCAGGAGCAATAATTTCAATGAAGTATTGCCTACGTTGTTTGTAATGTTTAGCTTGTTTCTTAATTACTGTTTCCATGCCAACAAGTGCTGTGGAATAATCCTTCTATACACTGTGAATATGTATTAATCTCATTGGTTAATAAAGAAGCTGATTGGCCTATAGCAAGGCAGGACAAAGTTAGGTGGGACAATTAAGCTAGGATGAAGAGAGGCAGAGTGAGAGAGTTGCTAGTAGATGCAGAGAGATTAAGATGGGCACACCACACTGAGAAAAGGTACCAGGTCACATGGCAAAGCATAGATAAAAAAATATGGGTTAATTTAAGTATAAGAGTAGCTTGTAACAAGCCTGAACTATCGGCCAAGCATTTGTAATTAATATTGAGTCTCTGTGTCAGTTATTTGGGAAGCAACAGCAGCGCAGGAAAACTCCACCTACAAACAAGTATCCACATCTGGTATCAGGAACCCTGGGCTGGGTGAAGGTGCACAAAGTCTCCAAAGCCAGAGGGTGCTGTGAAGAACTTCTAACCTGGAAGTGAACAGCCAAGTCCACCTGGGAAGGACAGTTCTCCAACTAGGGACAGGGAAGATCAATGACCTCTCTAATGAGAGAGAACTTTGGCCAGGCCAAGAGAAATCCTCAAAGATATAGTCACTAACTAGACACAAGTTGCCCTAGAAATGGACACATATATCATTCTGGGGCTTCCTTACATCTGCAAGGCCATCCCTAAGCAGGTTCAGAGGTAGATTAGGAAGAATACTGGCAGTAGTTGAAGGAGCTCAAATTCTAGTTCTATCAATTGTGAACTTAACTTCTTTAACTTAATGCTCCCTTAGGCTGGGGCAAC